TTACTGCTTATGGTGTATACATAGGTATGAAGGCTTCGGCAAAAAAAGCCTGGGGCAATGACAGCCTGGTGGGTAAAAAGGTGCTGGTACAGGGCGTTGGCCATGTAGGGCAATACCTGGTAGGCCACCTGGTGAAGGAAGGAGCGAAAGTATATATAACTGATATTGATCAGAACAAGATCCGCCAGACGGTAGAGACTTACCGCAATGTAGAGGTAGTGGATGGCGCTGGTATCTTCGACCTGGATATTGATATTTATGCTCCCTGCGCACTGGGTGCCACGGTTAATGATGATTCTATCAGCAAACTGAAAGCCCAGATCATTGCCGGTGCTGCCAATAACCAGTTGGCCGACGAAAATGTACATGGCCCTAAGCTGATTGAAAAAGGTATCCTCTATAATCCCGACTTCCTGATCAATGCCGGTGGCCTCATCAATGTGGCTGCGGAATTGGAGACTTATAACGCAGATCGTGTACGCGGTAATGTAGAAAAGATCTACGATCGTACTTTAGAGATCTATGCTTTGAGCGAAAAGGAAGGGCTTCATACCCAGGCAGCCGCTATGAAGATCGCAGAACAGCGTCTTCGTGATATTGCCAATGTGAAATCAAGGTTGTAAGGCAACCAAAAATTATAATGAGATCCTGGCCTGCAAAGGCCGGGATCTTTCTGTTTAATCCAGGTATTTTTTATAATCCGGCTTCTTGCCGGTCAGGTAGGAAAAGGGGGATAAAAGTGAGAAAACAATTTTCTGGATTACAAATGACGGCCTGGCCATCCGGAAGACCGGGTTGTATTTATTGATGGTAAGTGCTGTTTGCAAAAGGCCCGGCATCCCTTTTTTAGTAGCTTTCCCATCGGCCACCAGGCCAAACGTTGTTTCCAGCAAGTATTCTGTATTCATGGCTGGCCTTACTTTCCAGTTCACCGTTGCCGGTTCGCCGTTGGCATTCCACATAGCATGTACCGAATTGGGGGCTATATGCAGCGTCTCTCCACGGTCCAGTACCCTGAGCTCTCCATTAATCCGCACCATCATCTTACCGGATAAGACAACAAAATCTTCGGACTGATGGGGGTGATAATGAGCAACGGGTTCTGTTGAGTGCGGGCTATAGGTCGATTCCATTTCCAGCAACTGACCATTGGTATCATTGGCTGTTTTTATAAAGCGGATATGTTGTCCTGTAATAGGATTCCTGATCTCTTTGTTTTTATAAGCCATTTTAATTTTAAGTACCCGTCTAGTCTTCACGGTAAAAGTACGAAGGCTACATGCTTGAAAAAACTGGCATATGTCAGAATGTAGCGGCCTACTTGTCTGGTATTTTTTTCCGGTTACCTTTATGGTCAATGACAGCACATTCATCAGGCGTTATAAAAAGCGCATAGATGCAATCTT